GAATTAACAATGACCAGTTGAAAAAAATCACCGATTGTGATTGAAACGTCCATGTAAATACTACACCAATTTTTACAGATAAAACAATAACTAGGTCATAGTGAATAACAGTGCATATAGTACCTTAACTGATGACAAGACAACAGCAGCGTTGGCATGGGCCAGTCGTGGTGTCACACGCTCACATATGCTCTGGGCCTCCTTCTCATCCTTAGGGTTGAAGTTGGCAAGTGAGTCGAGGATGAAGATTTGTCCCCATCTGTGTAGGAAAAAATATTTTGTAGCAACTCAAAATTGATTAAATGTCAAGAAGTCTAGAAATACAATGAAATATAATAGTATGATAAATGGAACTAACTCTGGCAAAACCATGCCCTTGTCTCCAAATCAGAAAGTCTTCAAATCAGCTTAAATTCCAATGTATTGACCATCTTAATACAGACCGAAAATATAAATTATCATATTTTTGCTATTTGTTATCCAATTTTAACATTTTTTGCATTAATTATTAATTTTTGACCTCTAGATTACACAAATCAATGGTAATGTTAGTAGTCTGTGAGTGGATAAATATACCTGGATAAACCGACAAATTGCCTATTTTATTTCACACATGAGAACACCCCTCAAAAAATAATAGAACAGTTGAATCTTGGCACCAATCACAAGCGGCCCCGATCTTGTTGGATTTTCCGATCTTATTGGATTTATATTTTGCAATTTTTGATTTTGATGATCTATGTTTTGGATCTACTGCATCCTGCCTGCTACTGGGATTCATTTTGCTGTGCAGTTCACCATGACCGGCAAATCAGAATGTCCAATTTGTTGGGACCCTAGGCCCAGTCCTAAAGTGGACAATCATAAGGCTTGTCCAGCTTGCAGAGAGTGTGACGCGGAAACTCCTTGCGAGATTTGCGTACGATAGGCGCCACCTCAATTTGTGGTTATTACAAAGATCTCATTTTTCATTTTTTGAGACAAGAGTCTGTTCCTGCTGTATGAATTCATGGAAACTTACTCAGTACATTCGTTGAGGGCAGTGAGAAGCTTGTTGATGGTAGAGGTGCTGAGGTCCAATCCAGCAGCGGTCGGTGAGGCTTCGTTGATTTCAGACAAAGCAGCTACTGCATTGGCCACAACCTGTAAACCAAGCAATCAATCCATCATTAAACCAGCCAATCATTATATCAGTCAATCATTCAATCAATCAGTCAATCAATCAATTAGTCAGTCAGACTGTCAGTCAGTCAGCTAGTCAATCATTCAATCAATCATTCTATCAATCAATCATTTGATCAATCAATCATTAAATAAATCAATCTATCATTCACCGGTAATCAATACATTATTTATTCAATCAATCAATTAGCCATTTAATCATTCAATAAATCATTTACCCAGAATGGTATATGGTAACCCCAAAACAATTATTTAAAGATACGAATTATATTCAATATCACAACTCTTTCCTACCATAGGATTAGAGGCCGTCAGGAGGTTCCTGAGTTGCTCTGTAAATCCTTGGTCTTCTACCAACTGGGGGTTAATGTCATACAGCTTAGCAACACACACAGCAGCGGTCTTCTGAACATAAGGATCTTCATCTTTTAGACACTTGCGCAGTGGCTCGCAGAGGTATTCTGTGATCTTATCCACTCGGATACATCCCATGGTTCTGACGGCAAGGGCGCGAATCAGTGGATTAGGATCCTCACAATCCTACAAAATTACAAGTTTTTTAATACTTTGCAATATTTAATATTTTGTGGTGGTAGTAGGTGGTGATCATGGTGGCAGTGGTGGTAGTGATTAATATGGTGAAGGTGATGATTATGGTAGTTGTGATTGTGGTGGTAAAGGTGACGGTTATGGTTGTTGTAATTGTGGTGGTGACAGTGATTGTGGTGGTGGTGATGGCAATGGTGATGGTGAGGGTCATGGTTATGGTAGTGGTGATTATGGTGGTCAATCATGGTGATCATTGTGGTGGTGGTGGTGGTGGTGATGATGATGGAAGAGATTAGAATAGTGGTGATGGTTATGGTAGGGGTGTTTGTAGTGGTCAATTATGGTGTTCATGGTGGTGGTGGTGGTGGTGATGATGGTAGTGATTAGAGTAGTGGTGATGATGGTTATGGTAGTGATGTTGGTGGTGAGGAAAATGATTGTGGAATATTTTAAACGCAGTGGCAATGACGATATGATGACCAGAATCAGGATAGTACCTACCTTGACAAAGGTATTGACAGCCATAATTGCCATATCCGGCTGGCTTTTGGCATAGTTCATCAGGTAAAGGTAAACAAGCTTCTTCAGTTCCAAGTTATCTGTCTGCATACAATTGACAACATCAGGAAACAAGGCACTACGCAAAAGCAATATAAGAAAAACATATATAAAGAACAAAGTTAATTAATGAAAACATGTATTTTTAAGGCAAGTATGTATTAGTCTTAGAATGTTCATGCTTCTATCAATGTGTGAGACTTGGTCTGTGTTTGTAATGGCTAAATTCTCTTACCTAACATCCTTGCCTACTGTCATGCTTGCAATGACCTTTTTGACTGCTTCTTTTTTCTTCTCTTTACGTTCGCTATTCAGATCTGCTTTTAGTTCAAAGATTTCACCCTTCTTGGTGGTGGTAAAATATTTGGAATCAGACATCTTGGTCAGGTTTCTTTGCTTTGTCCAGATCTAAATTACTCCCTGGATAAGTAAAAAAAAAAAATATTGATATAAATAAGGGCAAATAGAAAAATTTATTAGATTATCACTCCCGCCCACATAAAAAATTCGGGAAATATTGATGCAGGAATAAAAAAAAAAAAAAAAAAAACTTTTTTTTGCCGCATCAATTATTTCAACGGCATGAAAATAACAATGCAATTTTGTGACTTCAAATACATTTTCTTTAAAAAACTATAAAATTAAACCAGTTTTTTTACAATATTTTCTATTACAGACCAAATGTAAACAGTCCCTCCCTCATCGATAAAAACAAAAGCAAAATAATCTATTGTTCCGTTTGAAAAAAAAAAAACCGCCATGACAGGCTTCCTACTTCTAACTGAGTCTAGGTCCTAGGCCAAGCTTCTGTACCACTCTATCCAGCAGGCAGGTGAGCACAGACCTAGCTAGGGCCTTGACTGGGCTGACCAAATCCAAACCGGTGGGAGGTGGCTGTCTACTAAACAATCACCTTACAAAAACCACCTAAACCATACTAATTTTGAATAGAAAATGAACCGAACATATCTACAAATACAAAATAATTATTTATTTATGTGAAAAGAAAACGATAGATGAGATTGTACTCGATTTTAACAACAATAATTACCGTTTCAACGAGTCTCCCTTGTCTAAAAAATGGCCTATCCCAAAGTTCCACATATATCGGCCAAGTGGCTCACACCCTAGAGTACGTGAAGCGCTATTGTGTACGTGGCATTGTATTAGCACTTGTGTGTGCAACCGAAGGATAGTTCTCATGGGTGTTTGTTGGTGAGTCACCTGACCTTTAGTCAGCTGACTGGCCTGACCGCGACCGAAAAAATGTTATTTTGAGTTGACTGCCTGGTGTTTGGTTAAGGGAACATAGTGTGTTACTAAAATCCTTCACAATGCTTTGGTGGCAGTTGATAACCTGTGTTCTTGCGTCTCATATATTACCATGCTTGGCAGTTTTACCAAGTGTGTTTGTTTCCGTTCAATATGACCAGCAAACGGATACATTCGAAATTTTTGAAGAAAGGCTATCCGGAGCTGTTGCATGGGCTAACTACACTGACGACGTAGAGGACACAGGGTAAGCCTAGCCTAGTAGTACTGTAGTAGTATTAACTAGGCTATACACATAGAAAAATTATTAGATTATCACACTTTAAAAAAAAAAAAAAAAAGTGATGAGGCGGGCGTTTTTTGTTTTTTTTTAAATGGAACAATAGAATATTGCTTTTTTTTATTGATGAGAGAGGGACTGTTTTTATTTGGCAAAAATATTGTAAATATTGTATAAAAACTGTTTGAATTTGATAGTTTTTTTTTAAAGAAAATGTATTTCCAGTCACTAAATTGTATTGATTTTTTTTAAGCTGTTGAATTGAAGTAAACGATGGGGGTGGGCGGTGGTATGCCATTGACCCCTAGGGGGAGGGGCTTAATTTTTTTTAAACAAAATCTCCCGCTTGCAACTTGGTCTAACTTGGCATCTATGATACCGGTTACTGATGGTTGTTAAAATTCAGATTTTTTTTCTTGATTTTGATACACAGTGAATTCAATACAGATTCAGTCATGTTGTAAACATCAAAAAATAAGAAAAGTTGAATCCATTTACTGAACTGACATTTTTAATTAAATGGTATGGTGTACATTTGCAAAATAGTGTATTCCAACTGTGTTTTTGTTAACCTTTTCAATTCTTCAAGTTTTAACAATTTTAATTTACAGAATTTTCCTTTGCTATTTTATTTATTTCAAGACTGTTGCCGTTGGTCTGTAGTAAAATTTTGTCTTTTTCTTTTCTTTTTTTTAGTTGGTCCCATCTGACAGTCACCACAAATCCAGACTACGACGATACAGTTCAAGCCTATGCTGCAGGGGTTGTGGAGGGGTATGTGTCCGCAGGCCCCATCTACATGCATTGGATGAACATAATGTCATCTTATTGCCTTCAGATGAGCGACTACTGTAACCGACTTCAAGAGTTTATAAAGACCAACATGGAGTGGGTGGCAGACCAGATCAAGGACAATCCTGATGATCCATACTTTCACCAGGTGATGGCAAGCTTACTAAAGCACTTTCCAGACTTTCAAACTTTATTTGACAAAAACATGTGACATGCCTAAATATGGTCATGATGACATCACATCATGACCATATATAGGTACATCATGACTATATATGGGCATACAACAGTTTTTTTTGTCATAAGAAAATTTGATTGTGTGGACAGTTTGATTGTCTATACTGGGTCCCAAGTCTGCTAGAGTCTCCCGGAAATTGAGAAGGTCTCCAGCACTCTCGCAAGCAAGAAGAATCTGTCAAAAATATCTCATCTTCGACAAATTCACAATATTTGCATGTTTTTAGTTAATACTGTACTATGAATTGGGGCCATGGTAGAAACGTAAAAATTTGTCAGAGGGCCAAATTTAATTTTCAATTGAATACTGAGGGCATTTCATTTTCAATTGAATACTGAGGGCCGCATGCAAAATCAGATTTTTTTTAAATTGTAAAATTTGTGCCTTTGGAAACATTACATTTTTTCCATTTTGGAACTCTCAATCAAAGATATTTTAAAATTATAATTGTATTATTCTTTTTACAGTTGATCTTGCCTAAGTCGAATCCAAAAAAATATTTCCATTGAAATATTGTTTCGACTTAGATAAAATTACAGATTGTTAATTAATGGAAAACACAACAATTTGGCATGTAAAATAAGATCGACTTAGAAATTATTCGACTTAGGCACAGGCGACTTAGGCAAGTTTAAATGTATTTATACTGATAATAGGCAGCGGGCTATAACAAACAGGGGTTATCAAGCCAAGGAAGGGAGGCAGTCCACACAAATATGATTTTTAATTACTTTCGCAAGTCCCAGAAGTAGTTGGCGCAACTTTTTGTGGCTCGGACTCTTAACCTTGAGGTCAGGGGTTTGAAACCGCTCGATCCCTGTGCAAGTCAATTGTGTCCTTAGGCAAGACAATTTATCTGCGTTTGTCCCTCTCTACCCAGGTGTATAAATGTGTACCAGCATATGCTGGGAAAGTAAAACAGATTGCAGTGCGGGAGGAGTGGTGAACCCTTCACAGCCTTCTACAGTCTGGCTTAAATGCCAAGGAAAAAGAGATGGCCACTCCAGCCTGTGAGCCCAGAGCTTCGGGTTTCGACCTTTACCTTACCTACATAAGTCACATATGGGCTGCAAGCCGCAATTTGGCAACCTGTGCTGTATATGCTACTTATCAATGTGCTGCTACAGTATTTAAATGTGTATTATTGTTATTGAATATATACGAGAAAAAAAATTAATCAGTTCTTTAGCATAGATTCACAGATAATATGCTGCACATTCATAATTTGAATCTTGCACTAAAATCTTCGTTTAAAATGCTGATTTTAGGCGGAACTAATTTTGGAGCAAATGGCTGGACTTGAAGATGGCTATACCAATCGATCATCACAACCAAGATTGAAACTAGAACCTTTTAATTTCTTGTAAGTAACACAGAATTGAAAATATCTAAGCTCTTTTTTTTTTTAAATACCATATTATATTTTTATGTAAGTTGAAGATAAGATTATTAAGATGCTATTCTGCAGCATAAGCATAATCATATAATATTTATTAAGATAGACAAACATTATTTAAATTCATTTTTTTTTAATTCATTTAGTGCAAAATGAGTGAAGGATTGGTAATAGCAAACTTCATAACTGACTTTTAATAATTAGCAATGTTTTCCACAAGATTAACATACACACTATGCTCTATTTACATACAGTAGTTTTTTAAAATGTTTTTATTCATGGTAAAAAAATGTTGTCACCGGTAAGACTTCAACCCAGGACCATGGGATTAGAAGGCCATCACCTTAACCATCAAGCTATCAACTCCACTGGCATAATATTACATCTTTAAATTCATAATTTTAGCCTTAAAATTATAAGGAAAAACTGTAGAAGCATTGGGCCAAAAAACCTAAGAAATATAATGGAGAATCTTACGAATTTTATTGTCAGAAAAAAGATCAATAGAATTGTCTTTAAATTGTATTATAAAGCTTAGGGATTCTAGAAATAAAACCATTTTTAGTGGATTCAACTATGCCAAAATGCACAAAGAAAAGGAACTGTGACAGCGACAAAAATTAGCATTAAGAGAGAAAAATCAATCATTAGATTTACAAAACACCTTTTTCAAAATCTGATAATATAAATATAATTTTTTTTTTTACAATAACATTTTTTTCCAGATTATTGCAAATTTCAGGAGATTTAGAAGATTTAGAAGTTGCTCTTGATAAAAAAGACAGAAAACACATGACTGGTTCTGGGTCTTGCTCCGGCCTCATCAAATTGTTGCCTGGCAACAAAGACCTATATGTGTCACATGACACATGGAATGTTTTCAATGCGATGATACGTATCATGAAAAAATATGACTTTGGCTTCCATACGGTTAAAGATGGTAAATATGGTTTTTGTAGCCGTTCATTTTTTGTTCACATACATTTATAATATTTTGAAATAAACTGAATTGATAGCTAATATGATTTGTTTGTTTTTATTTCATGCTCAAAAAGAATTTCAATGAAGATCATAAAATAATTTTTAAAAAAATAAGAAATAAAAAAAAAAATTTTTAATTTAAAAAAAAATAAATAAGTAACTTGGAAAGAATAACATTAAACATCAAAATGGTAACAAAGGGCACAAAAAGTTTAGTGGCCAAGCAGTAAAGACATGGGTGCTATGTATATTGTTTTTAATCCATGTAAACTAATTCAGTTTATTCTTTATCCAGCTTACTGGCATACTACTATGCATGCAAAAAAGGCAAACAATTAATAACTGTACAATTACAAATTTAACTAACAGTGTACTGATTCTTTTCCAGGCCAGGAATTGATCCCAGGTCGAGAAATGTCTTTCTCATCTTATCCCGGTGCTTTATATTCTGGTGATGATTTCTATGTCATCAATAATGGTTTGGTATGTATGTCTTTTTACTATATCTCGTAAATATTAATTAGGTGATAACACCATTTTATTTGTCAATTCAGTACAACCATTATTTATTTGTAACAATGCCTATAAGATAACTCTATATTTATTACATTACTAATGAAAATAATAAAAAAAATTTTATGTTTGTCTGTTTTTGTCAATTTTTTTAGCGTACTTTATTTAAAGATTATCAGAGGAGGGCATAATTAAAATAAAAATTAAATTTTGTTTTCTTGCTTAGCAAAATCTGCCAAAATCATGCAGATGGAGGAAAAAATAAAATTTTATTGGTGAATGTAAAATAGGATGGCTAAATGCTTCAAATTTATATAATTAGGAAGAAATATACATATCTTCTCTTTGGAGATTTCAAGCAGCGGAGTGCATAATAAAAATAAAGAATTTTTCTGAATTTTTCACTTTTTCGTGGCATCGGATGTGCTAATTGGCCAAAAGTAAGTTTTAATTTTTATTTGAAATCATCAATATTTGCAGTCGGCGGGTTTGCTAAACAAGGTATAAAAATTGTCTTGCCTTATTAGCCAAAAAAATATTAATTTTACTCCAAATAACGTTATTTTGATTGCTAATCCCCAATATTGTGGTTTATGTCTAAAAGCCCCACTGTTGGAAAATGTCTAGAGCCACCACTGCCTGTCTACATGTTGTTCTTGACTGGTGGAAGGTGTATATTTTTTTTGTTGTTAAAGAGTAATGTCCAAGTATATTCATTGGTCATCAAATTGATTTACTATATTTACTTTTAATTCAATACTCTATGATTTTTTTTATATTGTTATTTATATTTCAGGTTACATTGGAAACCACAATTGGTAACAGTAATCCCATACTGTTCAAATACATACAACCAGAAGGGAAAATGTTTGAGATGATTAGAAACATGGTCGCAAATCGCTTAGCCTCTACTGCCAGTGAATGGGCCGATATCTTCACTAAATACAACATGGGAACGTAAGATGCAAAATCTTTTTTTTTTTTAACTGTTGTAGGATAGGATATGAGTATTTTGGGTTTGAATCACACCAAGGATTAACCCACAAAGTCTGAAGACTTGTTTCCAGTGGGATCCTTCTGGTGGTGATTGGGCAGTACACCGGGAGACAATCCCCTACTCTTTTCCGAAGAGTGTACTGTGCTTTTTAACATGCACATTGGTCATATTGCACACTGGACCAATGACTTAAACGTCTCAGTACGCTATCGTAACTTGTATTTCTCCCGAAACTCAAGGAGTGCAGCGATGGGGACCTAGAGGTTTTCACGGTTCAGTGCACACACAGTGGCTACCGCCAGTTACTCTCTGTAGTATTTTTGTTTCTTCTAATAATATGCTTTAATGTATTTGAACCAATGCTTCAGCACTAATAATGTCATTTTATAACGAGTAAATCAAATTTCAAAATATCAATGATAAAATATGCCATGAACTTTGAACTGTAGAGTCTTGCCTACTTATTTAAATATTTTGAATTGCTTTTTTCTCTCCAAGGTATAATAATCAGTGGATGGTCGTCGACTATAAACAGTTTACTCCAGGCAAACCACTACCAGACAAAGGACTTTTGTATATTTTGGAGCAGATACCGTAAGTTTCATCAAAATAATGTCAATTTTCAAGTATGGTTTATATGCCTTTGAGTTTATTTAATTACGTTTTTTTTATGTTTTTTTAAATATTTTTTTTCAGTGGAATGATTATAGCAAAGGACATGACGGCTCATTTAGCGAAGACGCAATACTGGCCAAGTTATAATATTCCGTAAGTATTGCTTTCTTTTGGAAGATAAAGTATGAAGCTGCTTTTTAATTTTTTTTATTTCTAATTCTTAATACATTTTCATAATTGAAATTTGCATTTTAATGCAAGAAATCTCAAATCACTTCAGTTTCCTTGGTCGCTGAATTCATAGTACAGTAGAACCTCGTTTTTACGTACCCCAGTTATACGAACCCTCGGTTTTACGTACGCCTCGTATGGACAATGACGTCATCAAAAACCCCGAAAATATTCAAAACAAACGGCCCTTTTGAGAGCAAACCATAAGTAAAAAGACTATAACAATAAACTATAACAATAAACAAATCATAATGCAACGTATTTTCATTAAACAGCAACGTTGATTGAGTCTAATACCGGGTTGTTATAATCTAAAACCATGTGAACTGAGTGAGATGAACAACTACCGATGGTGCTCAAAATAATTGCTTTCCTCCTTAGCTTCATGGAAGAACTCGTCTGGTCGAATTTTCCACACGAAGTTGGGTAGACATAGTATCATACACGAACGCTAATTGGTTGGCTCGCCCAGCGCATAGCACATGGTTGCTGTTTCACATACACAAACGCTAATTGGTTGGCAGCGCACATGGTTTTAGTTTGTCTCAACAGGTCCAGACAACACCACAGCTCTGTTGTTTAGAATAGGCCTGAAGGGGAATTCCCAAGTTATACCTTTGTCGTAGGTAATCTTACAATATTTTCATGTTCTTTATTTTAGTTAAATAAAAGATATAAAGTCATGAATTAATACACTAGACACATGGTTTTATTTAAACACTTTATTATGACATCGTAAAGTGATGAATAAAAACACTAAACACATGGTTTTATTCGTAGGCCTAGAGGCTAGATCTAGCCTAGGTAACATCGTCCGTTCGTACATACGTACTTGAGCGTTACGTACGTATTAGGTCAAAGGTTACCACAAATTTAACCCAACCTCTATTTTACGAATCCCCCGATTTACGTACGCCCTCTGGTCCCGTACTGTACGTAAAATCGAGGTTCTACTGTAGTCTTACCCAATGTGCAACCCTTCTCCACCTCCTGACGGAGTATTCTAGTTGTGCTGCAAAGATCTGCATACAGACTTCCTACCAGGAACCTGTTTAGGTAAAGGTAGGAGAATAGCCCATAACACACGGTGTCATTATGCTGAATTGCATATGGGTGTGGTCCATGATTAATGCAGTAGCCATAGAGAGGCGCTTATAACTTCATCTCCACATTTTTCCAATCACATCTTTCCAGAAATCAACCATAGCATCGAGGTAACTCCTAACTCCCAACTCCATTGCAGCTTCCTAAAGTTGCAATGGGTTCTTTAAAGTGCACACAGGCCAGATGTGTACACTGGACGTCCCATTTTAAGCCATTATCCAAGAAGAGTTGTTATTAGCAACCAAACCCTGAGCGAGGAAAGCAACTGGAACGAGCGCTGATGTTCTATAGATGGCTGTATAAAACTGATAAGTCATCCTTGTACATTCATTCATAGTATATAGTAGTAGTTCCCTTTTCCAATTTACAGATATTTTGAAGAGATATTTAATACCAGTGGGTGCCGTGAAAATGTTGAGAAATATGGAGACTGGTTTACGTATGATAAATCACCACGAGCAAATATTTTCCGACGTGATCAGGTTAAGGTCAAAGACATGGAGTCAATGATTCGTTTGATGAGGTGAGTCTTCAGAAACCAAAATAGTTTGAAAAAAAACATTTCCATAATGTAACAATTAGAGATCAGTTTGAGACCATTAGACTACATAATTAAATTTATTACATCTGCCAAGGTGGTTATGTATTCACTGCTGTCTTTCTGTCTGTGTGTTACTAAGATTACGCAAAAACTAATGAATAGATCATCGCAAAATTTAGTTGATTGGTACATAAAAATCGAAAATGCCATTCAATTTTTTTTAAACAATTTCAAAGAACAAGGTCAAGATCACAGAAATCCACTTATTTATGCTTGAGCATAAAAGAAAATAATGGAATCTCCCCTCATATTCAGGCAGCACTCAAGAAAATAATGTACAGTACCTGAATAAGGTGATTCCATTATTTTTGTGAGGATATGCTTCAGTTTTGCCCATCACACACGGTCTGCTTATTGTTTGTATTCAGGCACAGGGTAGAGGTGTGCACTCTATGGAGTCACTGCTCTAGTTTTTGTTTTTTTTTTTGTTATTTATGTAGCACCTTACTTTGCAGATTCAAAGCAGCAGCAGATTCACGGTGGTGGGGCCGTGGGCTTCTGAGAGTGTTAATTCTGGTCATCTAGAGGTGCTATAATCATAAGTTTTCTTAAATGATAAATATCTGTGAAAGCCCCTCCTTGGGGCCCTGTATTTCAAATTCCTGGATCCTCCATTGCTCAAGGTTACGAACCAAACCATTCCTGCTGCTCTAAACCAGTTCTACATTATCATATATGGGAAATTTTATGATAAAATTTTTACTTCCCCCACTTTATTTTTCCAGGTATAACAACTTTAAATCGGATCCATTCTCACGCTGTGAGAAATGTGACCCTCCATACAGTGGAGAGAATGCTATAGCTGCACGCTCTGACCTCAACCCTATAAACGGAACATATCCTTTTGCCGCAGTTAGTCACCGTTGTCATGGAGCAACAGATATGAAGGTAAACAACCACTGTACTAATTTACCAATTTAGCAATTAGCAGATGATTACCAGAAAAATATTTTATAATCTTTTTCTCAGGATTAAATTGTTTTCAGTATATTTAATTTCCAACTATCCCAAAATTGGGAAGCAAAGCCTCCAAAATTTGGCATCCACCCCCCAACCATACAACCCCCTCCGATTACGGAGTAAAAGAAAGTTGTAAAAAATTGCCTTGTACACCTAATTCCTCAGCAAGCATCCATTCAGTTTCCTATGGCACACCCATCAGTATCCCCCTCCCCAACCCCCATCATGAATGTTAACACACATCAGTTTTGATTGCATTCTTGGCACCAGAGAATATAATCTTCAAATCTAGTGACGATTCTTTTTTCCCAATTGGATTTTATCATTCATATTTATTAATTAGTGGCAGGCTTCCCACTGTTCAATGAGAACTTGATTAAATAAGTCCAAACAGCAGGGCCTGCGACCTTTATTTAAAAATTTATAACCCAAAACGATTCTGCTCTTTATCTCTCCAGGTAACATCTTATACGATGCACAAGACCATGTCAATGATTGCTGTGGCTGGACCCACCTCTGACCAACAACCACCCTTCCAGTGGAGCATTTCTGACTACAAAGACAAACTCTTTCATTTAGGACAACCAGATATCTTCGACTTTGGCCCAGTACATGTAAACTGGAAAAAATAATCTTAGACCCAAACAACCATTGTTATGTAAATAGTGCACACTGAAAATATGTTGTATTTTTTGTATAAGTTGGAAATTTTAACAAAAACTAATTTATCGATAAAGATAAATTGCATCTGCTGTAATCATTAAAATACCTTAATATTGTTCATGCAATTAGATTTGTTAAATTAATAACAAAATAATTTTGAAATAAATAAGTATAAAAATAAAATTATGGGTATTTAGATGAGTATTTCAAGCTTGTATATTTAATGTTTAAAGAAAAAGGTATGACTTTTTTTATTAACATTTATAAAATGAAAATGTCTGTCCAAGAATCGTTGGGGATGGAGTGTTAAGTGCTCAAACTCATAGGCTTCAGGTCAAAGTATCGAATCACACATCATGCAGTTAAGCTGCATGGAGGTTAAGATGCTTGCCTTCCAAGATTATTTTTTTCATGACTGAAGCGTCTCTATACTCCCTAAGCCTTGTTATGAGATTTAGTTTATAGCTAAAGCAAATTGTACAGGTATCTCAGTTTAAATAAGCAATTTTAAAATCTAAGAATTGTAGGTTCAAATAATCTTAAACTACCCAGCCACCAAATTGGAGTCCAGTTGAATACAAGTTCACATTAATTTGATCTCTTAAGAGTTTAAAATGAAAAGATTCCAATCTTCTCGTTCTGTGCGTGAAATGAACAGAGGGGTGCCAAGTCTCCCAAGTCCCAGAAATTGGGAAACAGCCTCTTGCAATCCCACAAGCAAGCAAGATCCCCGAGAAAATAAGAAATCTCTCGCAAATTCATATTTGTATGTTTTTACTACTTTGCTGGAATTCAACACTTATATGTATTTCCTTGCACAGCAAAATGAAATTAAATGCTCATTTAACTAGGTATCCCGGAAGAGATTTCCATCAACATGGGACCCCTGCGAACACAACGCTAAACCGCAGCTATGTTGAGTTTTCCAGCTGAATCTGGTGGTATTGTTGGTTATATTTATCTCTTCACCACATGATACACTTCTGTATGTACGTATGTGCCAAGCGTTTGGCGGCCGCACTTCTGTGGTGTTATTATGGAAGTGAGGCATGTTCAAGCAGAATGGACTCTCTTCCCTTTCTGTACTCTATTGATCATTAAGAATTTTCTAAAATGTAAAATGTTGTTGTTTATAAGTTCAATTTACTGTACTATACTCATACTAGTCATTATCAGGGGTGTTTCTATGGGTTTTTTTAGTAATCTGATAGACCAAACCACCTCTTCTCTTTGTATCAAAATGATGATAAAATTTATCCCCTTCCAACAGGAGCACTTCACCACACACCCCTCCACCTCCCCAAAAAATCCCCCTAGCTGTCATATGATTCCTGCATATTTTTATCAATCAATTATTCTTCTGGCTTTTACATTAAGTATTTATTATTTATTCTGTAGTTATCTATGATATTTTATATTATTTATATTAACAATGTATATTCATTCAGACCAGTTGTACAGTATTTACTTTTCTTACTTAAATTTTCTTAAAATACTATCATAAGCACCATATTTGCTTTAAAGATCCTACAAAACAATAGTACTGAAATTAAATTGGAAAATGTAATTCTAGCCTTTTGAAGCCTCATCTAAGCATTGAAAGGTTACATAAAAGATGAATTATTTATGGTCCATTGAAAAAGTGTTGATGATTGTGGTGGTCATATTTTATGCTGTACACCCCAAAAAAAAAACCATAACCAAGCAAGCTACTGTACTTTATATATTCATGGTTTGAGTATGTCAACATCAGGGAGATAATTTTCTGTACTTAATAAAATTATTTGTAACAAGTTGGCAATCAGCACGTGTCATTGTAATGGATCTTTCTTAAGCCAGCAACTCCCACACCGTGAGTGAGTACCTGGTTTAAGGGGCAACTTCATTGCCAGACTGTCCTCATAACCCTATATTTACGTTGTAGTAAACAACCTTGTATAATATGAAAATTATAGTAGAAAGGTTGGCCCTGTGGCATTTTAAATCCTAGACAAACTTTCTGCGCTGTCCATCATGTTAGTAGTTAAAACCCATGTTCCAGGGCACAAAATATGGATTAATCTTTTGCAAATTAGATCAGCATGAAAATATTTTTGGGTTTCTTAATTTTCAGTTTTTAATAAAATTCACAGACAAACAAATCGCAGATGTTATAAGTATATTTTGTTGTAAAAAACTTTAATCAGTTATGGAAAAGCAGCATATAAATTTCTTACATTATTGTAGTCATAGCAATGAAGAATACTCTTGTGCTAATCTTAATCACTAGCATCACTGCTGTACTACCGCCATAATAATTCAAGAGACTTATATAGCACCGTGTCCACCATTAGGTACTCTTGTAACCCAGGCTAAAAACAGAAAACAGGGATGTCAAGCCTGAATTCAGTGGGTGAATGGTTGAAAATATTCATGACCAAATCTCTGCCTTGGAAGTGGTAGTTGATATAATGTTGAAGTATGATTTCAAGAGATGAGACTTCAAACTAGATTTAATTGATGCTGGGTTCATCGATTTTCTGATGGGTAAAAGTAGCTTGTTCTAGATTTTGGGGTGCTTAACAAGGAATTATCATCACCATCCAACATCTACAAACAATCTTATTGTTCATCAAATGAAATATAAATTAGATTGACAAGATAAATATAAAGGACTAGTATTATCATCATTGTCATAATCATCAGCAATTATCATTGTCATAATCATCAGAAATTATCATTTTCATCACCACTATACTGTAGTTTAGTTTTATACAAGTAACTTTTTTTAACTTATGTTAAAAATTCCTATAACATACATTTTTTTAAATTTAGTAGAATCTTCAAAACATTGACTACTTGCAGCATAGAACAATTGATTTGCGTGAGTTTACGCCATGTCTTAAAATAGACATAACAATCTCAGCACTCATCATTAACACCGTTAATTGACCCCTGACCTGTATCCCTTGTTCTTTGCCCCCCCCCCCTCTTATTTCATCTAGTTTATTAGTTGCAAAAGCAGCACACACAAATCTGACATGAAAGTAAAACACTCATATTTCCAGTGGGGTCCAAGACAAATATCTGACCAATCAAATTGCTTCTTTCGTTATTTAGCATTTGAACAGAGATCATTTATTCCTTAAGAACACTGATGAGCTCTTGGAAGTTTGTAGCAAACCACTTAGCATTCTCCTGTACTTTGGGTCGCACCTGGTTACCACCAAATCCTATAAATGCGTCCTGTTAAAATAAAATCATGTTTATTTCATATATCAATGTCCGTTATACAGGTAATTTTAATAACTGTATATTCCATTTCATTCAAGATCATTTACATGAACAATGTGGAAGATAATCAGTGGCAGTACCAGCAGAGGTTCAAAGGGAGCAAATACCCCAAGCTGGACAGGCCTGGATGCCGGATGCCACAATGAGGTAGCTGACCAAAAACAATTTGCCTATATATCCAATCCCTAATACTGAACCTTACCAGAGACTATTCATTCAAAATGGTATATTTATTCAAAATTCAAATTAAGACATAAAACATAGCAGCCAAAAGGCTGAATTGCGAATTATGTTAACAATTAAAACCATTAAAAAAATCAAACAGCAAAGATAAAAAAACAAGTACATCGAAAAAGAGAAAAATATTGACCCCCTATCGGCAAATTCCAAGACCCTGACTGAGGTTCTAGTCCGCCCACCTTGGTTTAGATCCCTTGTCGGACCCCCTATCGGCAAAATTCTGGAGCAATCTCTGAAGCTAACAATAATCATCAAAGTATGTAATTATGGTGACAATCAATGCCGTAACCAGGGTGTGGGACAATATCAGGGTGGACCCACTTTACGCATAAATTCAAATAATGTCACCACTGTTTCACTCAATGCTTTACGTGGAAACTAACTATGATGCCCCTAGTTTTAAAATCGCACCTCTTTTTTTTGCTTGAGTGTTATAGAGGGCGCACTAAACCCGGAAGTGCTTCTTGATGTTTTTGTTTTGATTTTGCTTAAATTCTAAATGACCAACCACAGACCTAAATTTCCTAATATATTTAATATTCAAGAGAGTTTGCATCCAGGGATCTTTGTTTCACAACATACAGTATCTGACCATGCTGGCTGTTACAGATCACAAGGCAAGAAAATTAAGATGAAGATGGTAGGTGGTAATTTTACACATTTTTATATTAAATTTGGACAGTTTGAGGGGTAAACCTTATTAGCTGAATTACAGAAAACTGGAACTAGGTTTTAACAAGGAAATAGACTTTTAGACAGATAAATGTATGGTAAATAAAAATAAAATATATTTTTGATGACGTATTCTTCGACTACACCACACAATGCCTAAAATATTCAGAACGTACCTTTACAGCGTTTTTTTAATTTGGCGATCAAACAGCTAATATTGAAATTTCTTTTTAAATCTACACTTATCAATAACATTTAAGTAATAATTTCAAAGTAGTAAAAAAAAAAAATCTAGCTCTGAATTTACCGTAAATTACTGATTACTGATTACGATGGCGTTCGTCTGGTTTTCATTGCCGGCTAGCAAACGGCGTAGCCAGTTAGTGTGTAAACAGCCTGAGCCCTGAAATTAGGCTCGGTTCATTGTTTCACTGTGGTCCTGTACGTTTCAATTACATTTGTTTTTATTTGTTCATTGACAAGTGTAACTGTACTTTAAATAAGTGTTGAAGTGAAATAACGTTTCGATAACTAAATAAGGAGTAATGTGTGTGTTTTGCCATTGTATTTTTCGTTCGCGATCGTTAAAAATCTACCCGATTGGCGTTAAGCTGTGACAAAGTAATGACAGAACGCAAAGGCTCTACGCCAACTAAAAATACCAAACACGCAGCAAGAGCTCTTCGTCCATGGTCAAACAGTGGTGATGTGGAAAAGTTAACCCATATTTTTACGCAAAAATATTATTAATCTGGACCCATTTTCCTAAAAGTTGACCCATTTCATGCAAAAGATAAGAAATCTGGACCCATTTTCTTAAACGTTGACCCATTTTGTGCATAAACAGCATAATTTAGACTCATTTCTAAAATGTGGACCCATTCTTTGTGGACCCAATAAAAATTGTGTGGGACTCTCCCAAAAGCTGGCTACAGCATTGGTGAAAGTAATGATGATGATACAGTAGAACCTCGTTTTTACGTACCCCAGTTATACGAACCCTCTGTTTTACGTACGCCTCGTATGGACGATGACGTCATCAGAAACCCCGAAAATATTCAAAACAAACGGCCCTTTTGAGAGCAACCATAAGTAAAAAGAATATAACAATAAACTATAACAATAAACAAACCATAATGCAACGTATTTTCATTAAACAGCAACGTATTTTCATTAAACAGCAACGTTGATAGAGTCTAATACCGGGTTGTTATAATCTAAAACCACGTGAACTGAGTGAGATGAACAACTACCGATGGTGCTCAAAATTATTGCTTTCCTCCTTAGCTTCGTGTGGCAAACCATGGAAGAACTCGTCTGGTCGAATTTTCTACACGAAGCTGAGTAGACACGAACGCTAATTGGTTGGCTCGCCCAGTGCATAGCACATGGTTGCTGTTTCATGTACACGAACGCTAATTGGTTGGCTCGCCCAGTGCAGCGCATATGGGTTTAGTTTGTCTCAACAGGCCCAGACAACACCACGTCTCTGTTGTTTAGAATAGGCAAGGAGGGGAATTCCCAAGTTATACCTTTGTCGTATAGGTAATCTCAAAATATTTTCATGTTCTTTATTTTAGTTAAATAAAAGATATAAAGTGATGAATTAATACACTAGACACATGGTTTTATTTGAACACCTTATTATGACATCGTAAAGTGATGAATAAAAACACTAAACACATGGTTTTATTCGTAGGCCTAGAGGCTAGGTCTAGCCTAGGTATCATCGTTCCTTCGTACATACGTTTATTGAGCGTTACGTACGTATTAGGTCAAAGGTTACCACAAATTTAACCCAACCTCTATTTTACGAATCCCCCAATTTACGTACGCCCTCTGGTCCCGTACCGTACGTAAAATCGAGGTTCTACTGTATGTGTATGTCCACATACAACACCTAAGTCAATGAAACAAGGTGTAAAAATGTCAAAAATGCGGAAAAATTAAGAAGCTAAACTGAAGCCCTGTCATAAGATCTTTCCAACTTCCTCTTGTGAGGGTAACAATTACATTACAGTTAAGGACATGCGTAGTAGCAGACTCACCGCAGGAGGGCATGCTTCCATGTCTGTTGATCCGTCACCTACCATCACTAGATTCTTGTATCCATACTTCTTCTTCAACATTTGCACCACTTTTGGTTTTCCACCAGATGCTGAAGTTGGTTGGTCTTCGTCGAATCCAGCAAAATCTCCTACGTATGCAAATAAAAATAATTTATTCATTCAATAAAAGTATTAAGCATTTGTATTCTAAAAAATCATTAAATATGTCTTTGTATTATCATAACCATTATATCATTTTCTGGTCATAGAGTATTAAAACATAGTTTTAATGTAATGTTGAATCTGGGCTTTCTCCTTTTTCTAGTCTCTATCATCCTGAAAGTTGTGCTAACAGGGGTCTTGTACCCTTGGCAGGTTTTGTATCCATCCCAGACAGGTCAAGGAGAAACTTCAGCGTGACCCACTAGTCCACCAGATTAGAGGGCGAGCAATAATAGGTCAACAACATACTTCTGGTAAAGCCTAACTTTGGAGAAACGTATACAAATATTAAAACTTTTCTTTATGATGTTGCCAAGGGTTTGCTTTTCTGAAAACAATGTGACGGGTGTCTGCCAAAACTGAATAGAAATAAACCCCTTAACTGAAGAGACAAATATTTGAGTAGAAGACTTAAGATGAAATCACACAGATGGCAGCAGAAAAGACAGGATGTCAGATATTTGTGAATGTCCTAAAAAATATGGCAAGTGAACCTAAATACATACTGTGATTGTCAATTGTCACCATTGCCATCAGCATTGTCATCATCTTATTATTATCATTATTATTAAATTTTCAACACCAATGTCAGTCTTTTTTTTACTTTCAAAAATCCAGCATTTAACACGTGAAATTTCACATAATTTTAAATCATTTACCATTGAAATAAAATTTGAGTTTATTAGCAAAGATGTTTTCTGTTGGTATACCAAGTTCCTTAGCAACCTCTGAAACAATGCTTAGGAATCCGCCAGTAACCAGGTACACCTTTGTTCCTCTAGACTGAAGTGTCTTCACCAACTCTCTAAAAAAAAATGTGCAGTAATATTTAAGAAACCATACTCAGTTACATAACTCTATACACTTTTCTATTCTTTTTGTTAAATCTTTTTCTAGTGCAAAATATGAATTTTTAAAATATGTACATAATACTCAAATAAAGTAACAAAAAAAAACTCCAATGAATAAAATAATAACAATCTTGCAAGGGACTAAGCTAGATCATAACCATAAGTGGGGCCTACACCAAAATTTTGGGTGGAGCCTACATCAAAATTTTGGGTGGGGCCTAAGCAGGTATTATATCCAGAGGGCAAAATTATGATCATGTTGTCCCTATTATATGTGTATGACATTCTGCCACTCACATGTCAGTTAATCAATAAAAATGATCATTAAAATAAGAAAACAGGAGAGTGATGGAAAAACATTAACTATTTAGAGTATACAAAAAAATAAAATATCATAAATCCCAGCCTACATATACTGTATCCCAATACAATATTTCTGTTACATGCCACTTGTGTAAAATATCAAAACAATGCGAACAAATGAAATCAATTGCAAGAATGAAAACACAATACAACACCTTATTCCATTTGTCAGGCTCGGGGGATGTGCCTCAATAAAGTCCATAAGATGCTGCTTACTTGGTTTAATGATGCCAAGACGAGCTTTCAGGGTGTCACGGAAGGTAACTGTACCATTCATTGCATTTCTCGTTCTACGGAGTCAAATATAATGAAGACATGCTAAATATATTAGATGTACTGTAGTATAGGCAAATTTGAGAGGCGTTCTATTTTTCTATTTCACTTGATATCTTCGCATAGGGCATAGGCTGAGGAAGGGGGTAAGTCATATAAAACCCTTAAACATACAATCAAAACATTTAATTACATATAAAGGATTGAAGTTATACATTTCAGTCACTGATCAGGGGCGGATCCAGTAAGGGGGGGACACATTCCCCCCCCCCCTGTTTTGCCACTCAATTTTTAAATTTCAAGGCACATATTTAAATTAGCGCTCTCACTATCTATTC